CATGGAGCTGCTCTCCATCAGCCGGGTTTTATTGTCACTGCATTTCCGAGCTGGCCAAATACCCCTGCTCTCAGAAGGCTCACCACCACACACAGCCTAAGAACATGGGCCCCACCTGCCTCCTCTGGGTCCCCTGATGGCGGGTCCCCTCCCTCCCCTTTACTTATTCTGCCTCCTAACATTCGATCATGGCGATTGGTACCATCACTGTACCTTATTTTCACTGTAACATTAAACCATGTTCGCAGATTCTGAGTCTGATTAGTTTGGCCGCTCACTTGGCATTATGGTCCGCTTGCTAATTTTACAAAAAGCAGAGGCATGCATTAATGGAATCCTGTAAGATTAGGGAGCTATGTCCGGCACGTTTATCAGGGGCGCGGGTGGGACACGGAAGCTGCAAAGCTGAGCAAAGTGGCTCAGAGACGGGTGACAGGGTCAGGATTCAAACAGATCCCAAAAGGCCAGTATTCTGGGCCAAAACCAACAAGCGGAAATTCAGTAGTGATTAATGTTAAGGCGCAGGAGTAAAAACGGGGCAGAGCAGGCTCTCCTGTCGCTGCTTTGAAAAAGATGTTCTTTTGCCAGATAAGATCTTACGCTTATTGAGACGTTCACTTATTACGTTTACTGAGATGATGTGTGATTTGGTATATATGTGTTACTTTATTTAAATCCTGCTGGGGTGAAGAGTATCACCTCTGTTTTATAGACGAGTTTTAGAAGGGTTAAGGTACGGGTCCAAGGTTGCACAGCTTTTAACCCTTATGTGATATAGCTTCTGTGATGAGGCCCAAGAAGTGGTGACTGAAGAAGGAAGGAAGGAGGGAGGGAAGGAAGGAAGGCAGAGGGGAGAGAAGGAAGGAAGGAACTCAGATTTTATCGGAAGAAAGCAGGAGCGTGGAGCTATGCTTGGTCTGTGTTATTCTCTGATACAGTGTTGTATTCTGGATGCTACACTTTTTTTTAATGTTTATTTATTTCTGAGGAAGAGAGACAGCATGAGCAGGGGAGGGGCAGAGAGAGAGGGAGACACAGAATCTGAAGCAGCTCCAGGCTCTGAGCTGTCAGCACAGAGCCCGATGCGGGGCTCGAACCCACGAACCGTGAGATCATGACCTGAGCTGAAGTCAGACGCTTAACCGACTGAGCCCCCCAGGCGCCCCCGGACACTACATTTTAAGATTGAAAGTGTACAAACTTAAGTGTGTGCAGAGAAAATATTGGTGGAAGAGCTGGGGTGGTTGAAGGCACCAGATGGTTTGAGAAAGCTTGGGAAGGGCTGCGGTGCAGAGGTGGGTGGGGACGTGCTGTCCCCTGTTTTGGGGGGACATGCGGTCCAGGAAGAAGCTTCAGTGTTGCTGTGAAGACAAATACACAGACGTAAATGTTCAGAAAGGACCCGTTGGACCCTGGTGGCTTGTATCCTGCCACGACAGGGCTTTTTCCCCCGAATGTTGTGCTGTCCTCACACTGCTGGCATCAAGGGGGAGCAGCGAGGTCCAGGTAGATGTAGGGGTGCTCTTGCTGCTGTCTGGGCCAGGAGGGGTACGTGAAGACTGGCTGGCCAGCTGGGCACCGGGGTTTCAGAGCAAAATCCCAGCTTCATCTTCAAAGCCAAAAACAAGAGAAAAACTCAAGGACCCCTCTTGAGATGTGATTTTTCTCTGTTTTCTTAGGGGGAAAAATCTCTTACCCAACCAGAGAAACCAAATGCCTGCATTTATAACATGTCTAGTTTAGTTATTCTAGAATCCAGATTCTTTTTTTTTCTTGTAAGTAAAGGTGGAGAAGTTATGGAAACAAACCGGACTCTGACTATAAACCGAACAGATGGGATGGTGGGAAGAAAAACAAATTAAAACAATATTGCAAAGAACTCTCAACTTTCATTTAAAAATATATATGATGATGTTTTTCAACTTTTCACATTCAACCTATTGGTAGATCGAGTGACAAAATGAAAAATCAATTTCAGCTGTGTGTATTTTAAACGCTTGCCTAAATGGCTTGGACTCCCCAACCTAAACGTCCAGATGAATGTATGAAACTGTGTTTTTTATGAATTAAAACTTTATTTTATGTTATGTTATAGACAGGACACAGCTCCATTTGGTGACGTTTGGTATAGAAGATTGGACTGAACAGTGATCTAATTAGAACAGTAAATAGTATGGGTTTAATTAGCCCTTATTCGTGATGACAGATTTGATCAGTTGCCAGATATTTATCCTTTCCTTTCACTTGACTGTTTCTGAAATATTGCCTCCAGTAGGCTTCTTGCTGTGCTATGAATAGGTAGCTTGGCAGGAAGCCGTGAAGCCCACTGACTGGTGAGTCTTGGGTGGAAGTTATTGGGAACTAACCCCCCCCCCCCCCCCGCTGCCTTGCTTCATTATTTCATTTCACTTTTGAAAGTTCTTTCTACTTAATCCAGATCCTCCTCTTAATTTAAAAAATTTCGGGGGCGGTTGGATGAGGTAATATGGCCTGAGGGCTTGAGGAAAGCTGGGCAGTATCTCGTTCAGCTGTGTGCTGCGGTTTATTAGTATTGGGGTTTCCTTCATAAGTGTTTGTTGACTCTGACTTAGAGCTTCCATATTAGATTCCCCCCGGACTTGAACTTTCCTGCATGTCAGCGGGATGTGCTCTTTGTTTGTTTGCCTGCCTGCGTTTAATTGTTCACTTAAAAACATATATCATTATTTTATTTATTAATTTATTTTGCAAAATGCGGAGAAACAAAAACAAAGGAGGATAAAACCCCCCAGAGTCCTTGATCCTGGAAGTAGCCACAGCGAACGTTTTCATGAACAACTCACTCCTTTCTTCATGCATGTGGCCGGTTATCTGTATGAAGAGCGACACAGGCCTATACTTTGCTCTGAGGATTACCTTTTACCCCCTCCTTTGAAAAATTTTTTTTTGAAAAAGATATTTTTTAAAAAATTGCAAGTTCAGATACAGCTAACATCCATTATAACACCACCTGGCTTCGTCAGAGGTAAGGTTTTGTCATATTGGCTTCAGATCTTTTGCGAGGGTGTTGGGGATAGAAGACATTCGGTCAGCATCCCCTCTGTGTCTTCGCGAACAACGCTGGCTCCTGGCCCCACCTTGTCCCTTCTCAGAGGCAGGTGGCTGTCTTTTCTTGCAACCCGTATACTTGTACTTTATGCATTTCGTGTGCACGCGCACAGACACTCACCTTTATCTGCAGGTGAGGAGACAGGAAAGGCCTTGGGTGCTTGCATTTTAGTGTAATTAAGTCTTCCTGCCTTTTCCTTTGCAATTTCCACCTTTGTTGACGTATCTAGCTGGGTCTTGCCTATGTCAAGTCGATACGACTGTTAGTCTGTAATGTTTCTACTACTGTATAATCTTAGTGTTTTTAATAGAAATTTCTAACAGATCTGGAAATCATTTTTGGGTATTTTGTGAACAAGTCATCTATGGTTTTTGTTTTATTTTTAAATACATTCACATCGACTTGTGGTCGCATCCTATGTCCTTATACTTGAATTTGCTTCTGGACTCCACCCTACCCCCCTTTTTTTAATTTAATAGATTTTAACTGCCTATTACTATGCCAGTTCGCTGCTCTCAATTGAGGCCATTTCCCTCCAATTTCCATCCTTTTACAGTTTTTGTCTTGGCCCTTGCAGGCATTCACTCCACTAGATGAACTTTGGAATCGTTTTTTCGGGTTCAAAAAAAATTCCCTTGGGGATTTTGATTGGAGTTGTTACAGATTTATAGATTAATTTGGAGAGAATTAGCACTTTACAGTACCAGGTTTGCCCATTTAGGACTATGGTACATTTCTCTGTTTATTCTGTGGAGCCTATGGTAGGCCCCTTAGTAAAGTTTTGTAACTTTATGTAAGTATTACACATTGTTTCTTTTCACGCCTACATCTGTCTATATGCTTTTATACTCTCCTCTTTTCTCCAGAGTAGCCCAACATAAGTCAATGCTGGCAATTCCAGAAGACTAATTAAACCGAAATGTATTCGTAATGGGCCCTGCTCTATTTTCTTGGTTCCCCAAGGCTTTATTTACTTTGTTTTTCGGTGACAGAGTCCTTTTCAGGAGAGAGATTCGACAAATCCTCATGCAGAATGACTTCCTCGGAGCTACCGCCCATCTGTCTGATGGATGGGCAAGTCAGAATTTCAGTGGTCAGGGCGCCTGGGTGGCTCAGTCGGTTAAGTGTCTGACTTCTGCTCAGGTCATGATCTCATGGTTCGTGGGTTCGAGCCCCGCGTCGGGCTCTGTGCTGACAGCTCGGAGCCTGGAGCCTGTATCTGATTCTGTGTCTCCCTCTCTCTCTGACCCTCCCCTGCTCACGCTGCCTGTCTCTTTCTCAGAAATAAATTAAAAAAAAAGAATTTCAGTGGTCAAAAAGTCTTAGGTACAAGGTGGGACCCTGCTATATAAGTTATAAAACATGATTTAGTCTATTTAGATTTTGGACTGATAAAATTTCAAATTTAAAACTGAGCTTAGAGGGACACCTGGGTAGCTCTGTTGGCTGAGCATCCCACTCTTGATATCGACTCAGGTCATGATCCCATGGTCGTGGAATTGAGCCCTGCAACAGGCTCTGCACTGAGTGCGTAGCCTGCTTGGGATTCTCTCTCTCTCCTTCTCTCTCTGCCCCACCCCTGCTCATGCATGGGTGCACATGCACACTCTCTCTAAAAATAAACAAACATAAAAAAAATAAAACTGAGCCTGGAAGCCGTCTGGACAAAACCTTCATAAGGAGGAAAGATACTCATGTGCCACTAGTTTCCATATAAAACTAGTGTGTGTGTGTGTGTGTGTGTGTGTGTGTGTGCATGTGTGTGTGAATGTAGTCATCCCAAAGCAAAGCATCTTTAGGCAACGTTGGTCTGTATGAACAGCTTAGAATGAGACTTGGGGAAAACTGGGGGAGCTTTGGAATATTTCTAGCAAATTTGTCTGTAATTTATTGTGTGTTGTTCACATTCTAGACCTCAAGAAACACTCGTGCAGATGAAGATAAAGACACCAACTGGGATGCCTGGGGTAGCTGGAGCGACTGCTCCCGGACTTGCGGGGGAGGGGCGTCCTACTCCCTGCGGAGGTGTTTGACGGGGAGGTGAGTGGTGGCGGCGGCATGTTGTGCCCTGGAACGGGGGGCTCGGGAGACAGCCTGGCTTCCCGGCTTCAGAAGGTACTATGATGCCGATAGGGCATCTGCTGTGTGTAAATGTTAGTCACCCTCACGTTACCATATTTGAATAGTAATGGTCCCATTTTCACAAGTGTGGCCATAGTCCGCCCACAGGAGACCCCAGCTCACAGGAACCCAGGGCACTAGACACTGTAAGCGTTGCAGGGGGGCAGGCCTGGCATGTTAAGTCCCTGGCCCCAAACTGTCAAGATTAGAGATAATGGCTCGAGTATTGTGGCTCCCACCCTTGAGTTACTTCAATTTTCATTCATTTCTTGTTCACTTTCTCTGAGCATCCCATCCGTTAAGAAGGTAATGCAAGTGCTGTTTTCACACTGTAGGTATGCGTGTTAAAATGTAAGATTGGCTTCTTACGGAAAAAACCATTACGTTTGTAAGATGCTCACAGTCGTCAATGCTTTGGGGACAGTTTGAGGTAATCCTTCATAGGGCAGTTTAAGTCCCAGCCAAGAGTTCACCTCGGCTCTCAGATAAGACAAAGCCCCACGCTGATGGAACCTGATGTCCTGGTCCTGGACCAAAGGGAGGTTCCCGGATTATGGCAGCCATCTTCAGATCTGGGATATTGTAAGACAAAAGGGTAACTTGACTTTCCCTGAATAGTGTCAAGGTGTAGATCAGACACGCAGGGAGACCGTGCCGTGTCTGGCTCCAGTTGGGTGCATTGATGTTGCTGTTTTATGGGATATTAGTGACCACATGCATTCTCCAGCTTCCCTCACAGTGCACAGCGGGGCAGATGGGAGGTTGTGATGTGGCTTTGAGGAGGACCCTTAGTCCCGCAGGACAGCGGGGGAAGGCTGTGGAGGCACTGAGGTGTCGCTGTCCCCAGGCTGAGTCCCCACGCAGAGCACTGAACCCTACGCGAATGGCTGCAGAGCTGAACTCTGGGGTTTAGTCTTGCACGGGCAGCCTGGCGTGCCTGCTCCCCCGGTGCTGTTCACCTGGGGACGAATCACAGGCTCTGTTACGCTAAGTGCGTTGTGTGCTCTGGATGGATGGTGGGGTATGTGCTGTACTGGCTTGTATTGACCCCGGCGGGGTCTGCAGTCGGAGCGCCATGTGCCTGTGGGCAGGGCTCAGGGAGGGACTCCTGTGTGGGATGAGAGTTTTCCCACTGCCGTTCAGTCACCTGGGGGAGAGGTTCCCAGCCTAGAGTCTGATGTGCAGAAGGTAGTACATTGGCACCACTCTGTGGCCTCCAGATCTGGGGGCCTGAATAATTTGCATTCAGTGGTGGAATTTGAATGGGAAAGGAGTGGGGGTTATTTGTGTTTGTCCTTTAAAAAAATTTTTTTATGGGGCGCCTGGGTGGCTCAGTCGGTTGGACGGCCACCTTCGGCTCAGGTCATGATCTCACGGTTCGTGGGTTTGAGCCCTGTGTCCGGCTCTGTGCTGACAGCTCAGAGCCTGGAGCCTGTTTCAGATTGTTTTTCTCTCTCTCTCTGACCCTCCCCTGCTCATGCTGTGTGTGTGTCTCTCTCTCTCTATTAAAAATAAATAAAACATTAAAAAAATTGTTTTAGATTTATTTATTTTTGAGAGAGAGAGAGAGACAGAGCACGAGCAGGGGAGGGGCAGAGAGAGAGGGAGACACAGAAAATGAAGCAGGCTCCAGGCTCTGAGCTGTCAGCAAAGAGCCTGACGTGGGGCTTGAACTCACAAACCGTGAGATCATGACCTGAGCTGAAGTCGATCACTTAACCGACAGAGCCACCCAGGAACCCCTGTCCTTTTTTTTTTTTAAGAATAGTATGTACTTATATCTGTTAAAAAACAATTGGAGGAATATATTAAGGACCATGAATGACCACTTTCATTCTATTGTCATACAACCAAAATGCTCACATATTTGTTGATTATCTTTTTAATTAAAAAATAACTTTGACTTTGGAAGATAATCGATCCACCTCAGTGTGTGTGTATTTCCATCTTCTGTCTCCTAACTGGGGTCAGCCGATCATTGAACGCCTCAGATAAGGAAGGGAAGTGGCTGAGTTTCTCGTGTCTTTTCTGCACCTTCCGGAAAGGGAAATTTGGGATGGGGACGGTGAGAGGAGGCGGAGAGTTCTAACTTGACCACAGCGCTCTCTGCCTCGGCTGGTGTTTAAAGCTGGATGCTTCTCTTGTGAACGCTTGGATGGGTTTCTCTGAGAGGCCGTCTCCCCTCTCCCCCAGTCCCTTGGCCTGTCTTGGTGGCAGTGCCCTTGAGATGTGTGTTCACAGACCTGTTTTGCTAATCCTGCTCTGTCCTCAGCTCTTGGACAGCGGGGCGCCCTCCAGCCTTCCCCCGGCGACGTCTGTGCTTCTCCATCTTGGTAGGCTCCCAAGGCAGCGCTGTGCTGCCCGTGTTGCCTGCGCCCACCTCTGGCTCACCGGAGACCCCCTTGTGAACTTGGCTCAGCGGACTCTGGAAGTTCGGCGAGCCAGGGCGGCAACAGCTCCTCTTGGTACACAGGTGCCGCGGCCAGTCTCTCTGCCCTTAAATTTCTCGGGTGTGGATTAGCCACCAACCCGCTGCAGGAGGCACGGCTTGAACTCCGTAAGTGATGTCCCTAACATTGCATCCCCTTGACCTGGGGTTAGCAGATCGAAGCCCTCATCCCTTCCCTTTCTTGGCGGCGCAGGGTGAAAGGTAGGATCATAGCAGAGATTTCTCAACTCTTCAGAAATCCTTCCACTATATAATCTTCTGCTGATCTTTCTGCCTCCAAGCACCAGACCCTTTTAAAAATTTATCTGCCTATCTATTTTATTTATTTGTTTGTTTATTTATTTATTTATTTATTTTTATTTTTTATTTATTTCTAGGAGAGAGAGAAAGAGACAGCGTGAGCAGGGGAGGGTCAGAGAGAGAGGGAGTCACAGACTGAAACAGGCTCCAGGCTCCGAGCTGGCAGTCAGCACAGAGCCCGACGCGGGGCTCGAACCCACGAACTGCGAGATCATGGCCTAAGCGAAAGTTGGACGCTTAACTGACTAAGCCATCCAGGCGCTGCCTATCTATCTATTTTAATTCCAGTTAGCTAACATACAGTTATATTAGTTTGAGGAGTACAGTGTAGTGACTCAGCAATTCTATACATTACCTAATGCTCATCATGATAAGCATACTCTTAATCCCCTTGATTTATTTCCCTATTCCTCCATCCCTCTCCCCTCCAGTAACCACCAATACCTTCTCTATAGTTAACAAGTCTATTTTTTGGTTTGTTTCTTGTTATCTTTGTTTTGTGTCTTAAATAGTATTTGTCTTTCTCTGACTTATTTCACTTATCATTATACTCTGTAGCTCCATCCATGCTGTCGCAAATGGCCAGATTTCATTCTTTTTGATGGTTGAGTAATATTCCAGTGTGTGTGTGTATGTGTGTGTGTGTGTGTGTGTGTGTGTGTGTGTGTACCAAATCTTCTTTATCTGTTCATCCGTCAGGGGACACTTAGGCTGCCTCTATAATTTGGCTATTGTAAATAATACTGTAATAAACATAGGGTAGGGGTGCATATACCTTTTTCAAATTAGTGTTAGTTTTTTCATTTTCTTTGGGTAAATACCCAGTATGGAATTACTCAATCCTATGGTAGTTCTAGTTTACATTTTTTACAATTTTTTGAGGACCTCCATACTGTCTTCCATACTGGCTACACCAGTTTGCATTCCCACCAGCAGTGCACAGGCTTCCTTTTTCTCTACATTCTTGCTAACACTTATTGTTTCCTGTGTTGTTGATTTTATCCATTCTGACAGGTGTGAGGTGATATCTGTTGTGGTTTTGATTTGCATTTCCCTGATGATGAGTGATGTTGAGCATCTTTTCATGTCTCTGTTGGTCATCTGGATGTCTTCTTTGGGGAAATGTCTATTCATGTCTTCTGCCCATTTTTAATTGGATCATTTGGGTTTTATTGGTGTTGAGTTGTATAAATTCTTATATACTTTGGATGTTAACCCATTAATGGATGTGTCGTTTGCAAATATTTTCTGACCAGACCCTTTTTATACCTTGATATTTGCAAGGAATTTAACAATTGTGAACTGCACTAACACAAAGTCTGCCCTCATGGTTCTTGTAGGGAAAGGTTATGGAACCAAAGATTCAGAGTGAGAGCAACATGTGTAAAGGTGCAAGAAATGAAAAGAGACTTCTAAGAACAAACTGAAGGCTGATGGGAGTGGAGGAGAGGGGAAGGGGGGTGATGGGCATGGAGGGGGGCACTTGTGGGGATGAGCACTGGGTGTTATATGGAAACAAACTTGACAACAAACTATGAAATTTAAAAAAAAAGAAAAAAGAAAAGAGACTTCTATGCATGGAGAAAAACAGACAAGGGAGAAAGCAAAATGGGCCAATGTTGAAGAAGGAGGTGGATCGGCAGGCCAGGAGACAGAATCTGCTTCTCAGACTTTCGAATTTCACACACTTGTAAAATTTCACAAGAAGCATATTTGGACTTGATACAGGTTGTCAAGTTTTTACTTCATTTTATTAAATAAGGACAAAAATAAAAACAAACAAAACTCAACTATGGCCTACCATCATAGACTTTTCAAAAAAGAATTGCAACCAGGGTCGTTTCATTTTAGCATCTAAAAGCAAGACATGCTCTTAGATTTGAAAAACCTACCTTTAAATTGAATTCATTTAGCTTTCTGAAAATCCACTGTTTCTCTCTAATTTGTCTCACTTTACTTCAGACTCATATAAAGTATTGCAGCATATTAACATATTAACATAATTGCTGCATATTAACAGCTCAGTGATGGGCAATTGGGAACCAGAAATTGAGAAGTAAACATAGTCATGGACTCAGAACTTGAGATTCTACGATCCTTGAAGGATGCGGAAAAGTGATTTTATCTGAACCATAGTTTTCATCCAGGCATTTACTGATTCCTAAGCAGT